AAAATAAAGATAGAGGCAAGACCTCACCTCAACCTATAGGTTGAAAATTTAAAAAAAACAAATACTATCAGCCAAACTTTTATTAGTTTTTATATTAGAAACATAATACATATTGTGAGAGTACAACTAGCTATATATATAATTTTAGATTATTTAATTTAAATAGTCTACTCAAAAGTTCTATACTAGCTGCTATACCTGTAATCTATTAGAAGATTATCTATTTAAACTCTTTAGTATAATATTACTTTCAAATTTATTATACTTTAAGTTAACTTTAATCTTATACTACTTTATTTTAAGAGATAGCTAAGCTGATATTAGTTACAAACTTTATTATTATAGGTCTAGGTCTTATCTAGATAAGTCTCACTTCAATATCTACTAATAAATAGATACTATGATATTCAACTATACTATACTATATCCTAATCTAGCTTGTATATATCCTTATTCGATATTTGTATAAACTCAGTTTCTGCTATAGCTCTCTACTAGATTAGGCCTTTAGTTCTTCCAAATATTTTACAAGACAGATCCTTCTAATCTAGTTAGCTGCTAAGCCAAGTTGATATTGTCATATGACCACATATAATAGATTTACTCACATCTACTTGATCTGTATTCTTCATACCTAAACTTCTTTGTCAGATTAAGCATTAACTAGTATGACTATTAAAATTTGTACTACTTTATCTAACTTGGGATTTCTACTATACAGATTCTCTACCTGTAGATCTTATCTTAATTTATTCATATATTACAACTTAAATATTCTGTTATACTTTTAATATTCAATTAATATTAATACAATATGATTTACAGAGTTATAATCTTCAGAAATAAGCAGAGTTTACTATAAGTTGAATATAAAGTTTGAGAAATTATTCAAATTGTCAACAGTGGGATTTGAACTTCAAACTTATTATATAGTAGCCTAACAATCTATTTACTTTACTAGATTACTAGACCTAGATATTATATTATTAAATTAATACTTTAATTTTAATTATCAATTAATTATAATAAATCATATAAATTTATTATTATCAAAAACAGAATTGATTAAATTATATCACAGATTTTGCAATTTCTAATTATATTTTATAATTTTTATCTATTAAAAATCAATTTCTATACTTATTTAAAGTTTTATTATTTAAATCAATTTCTAATTATTTATTTAAATCTGCAAGTAATTTTTTATATTTGCTAAGTTGATAATAATATCTTTACAAATATTCTAAACTTTTTATATTTATTTGTATTAATTTCTAATGATTTATTTAAATTTATAAGTGATTTCTCAAATTGATAATAAGTTAGTTATATTATTTGAATCTTGATAAAATTTAATAAACAAAATACTTATTATATACTATAAATAACTATATGAATATTAATTCATGAAATATAATAAATTATGTTGTAAGCTGTATTTTTTTTAAGTGATACTATATCTGTTCATTTATATACTTATATATATGACTGAAATTAACAGATTATATATTAATCAAGTAATTCAAACAAAAATTATTTTAATATATAAAAAATATCTAATTAATCAAAAATCTCAAACTATATCTTCTTTTTACTATACTATATAAATTATTTACTACAAGAATTACTAAAAAAAAATAGTTTGTATATAAGATAAATTAATTTTTTTTAATATTTACTAGTCTTTTATTAATTCCTGCTAATACAATAGTAAAAAAAAAAAAAATAGCCAAAAATATATATACCACTCTCTCTATAGATCATCTGATCACAAATTCGAGCTAAAGGTTTTTGTATAGAAAAACACTAAACTTACTAAATAATATCTTCTAGTACATTAAGAAAAAAGATTCTAAAAAGAGAAACACATATAAAAAAGAAGGAAAATAGAAAAATTTTGAATACAAAAAGAGATTTAAAAGAATTTTAAACAAAAATTTTACCACAAAAAAATTTTTGTTGAAAAAATTAGGATTTATAAAACACACTGAATTGCAGATTAGCATATGTAACACAAATACATGCAAAATAGATAAACAAACAAATACATTACTAATTTACGTGTTATGTATCAAGTAACATAGACGAATCATGCAAGACCAAAACCAGATAGTTTATAGGCAATTTGAATAAACTTCTAGAAAATTTTAAAAAAAGATGAAGTTACTTTTAGAAACAAGATTTAGTAAACTAAACAAAGAAGAAGTGAATCTAAAAGTATGTGGAACAGAGCAAAAGTAACAAGATTAGTTGAAGTAGTAACAAAAGAATATGGCAAAGAAATAATAGTGAAAGGAAGTGATGTAGTTATGGGTCTAGAAGATCATATAGATAAAATAATCGCAGAGATCTTAGAAGTAAAAAATAATATAGTAACAGTAGCAAGAAAATAGAGAAAAGTAATAGAGAGAGCAGCAATAATTGAAGGAATTGATAAAGTTAAAGTAGTATTAGAGCAAATAACCTAGAATATAATAGTAAGAAGAGAGGAACTAATAGTACAAGAGAGTAAGAGCAAATCGGATATAAAAATAATAGATCTAATGAGCTCTTTAAAGATAGTAGATAGAGCAGAAGAAGAACAAGTCTTACTAAAGAAGCAACTTCTAGTGAATGAAAGAAATAAAGAAAGCTATAGCTTAATAGAAGATATTAAAAAAACTCAGAATGAAGAAATCTCTAAACCAAACCCAAACCTCTACTTAGATACTACAGAAGAATCAGAAGAGGATTTGATACTAGCAGAGTCTGACTCTTCTCTTGAAAAAAGTATCTAGGTACCAAATAAAGATAGATGTGAAGGAAAAAAGATCATAAGAGCCAAGGTAGCAGTTATAAAAGTACTTGAAAATAATACAAGTTATAGAGAAAAATCCTTAAGGTGGTCAATAGGAAAAAACATTCATTTTAAAAAAATATTAGAAAAATTTAAGTAAGGTAACTTGTAGTGTATGCTAATCTTTAACTGTGAAAAAGGCTATGAAGAGGCTAGAAGAAATTTAGAAAACAAAAAAAAAAAGTATGAGCAAGCTAAACTAATTCGTGAAGATAATATACAAGAAGATCTGATTGTTTAATCTTCAAATAGCTAAGATATAAAGATCATTACCTTAGATATTAAAAGGAAAAGAGAAAAATAGGTGAAAGCAGAGCTAGAAAAAGTTCTAATAAGAAGGAAAAAGAAGACTACAATTATTTCAAATTAACAAGAAGGTATAAGTAAAGAAAATGTTGAAATCTAGCAAGATTCTATTAACTTAAATGAAAACAAAGAAGAAAACAAGATAACAGTTTGGAATTTACTAAACTAGGCAAAAAGAACTCAAGTTTTTGAAATGGTTCAGTTTATGTAAAGAGTAGAACATATAGAAATGATCAAAAGTGTATATGATAAAACATGAGCAGAAATTGAGTATAAAACAGACACTTTTGACAAAAAGAAAAAGAATGAGATTTGGTGTTTGCCTTTTGCAAACTAGATTTTATAAGGGTAATAGCAGGTACTAACAATTTTGAATTACTTTATATAAGAAACAGATTTAGCAAAAGACTCTTAGACCTATCAGAGAATACGAACGAAGTACTACTCTGAAGACAAGTTAAGAAATCTGAAGCCAAAATATTACACATATTCCAAAATACTAATAATAACAATATGAGTAGCACAACAGTATATTTTAAGAACCAAGAAGATATGATAAATATCTCTAAATTTTCAATGTACTACTATAATAATAAGCTAAGATAAGCAATTTCAAGAGATCAAGAAGTAGAGCTACTTAAAAATCAAAGATTTCAAGATTATGAAGAAAGTTAAGTAGGTACAAGAAGAAGTGAAAAAAGCTTAGGGAAGAGAAAAGAGTTTGAACTAGAACAAGAAGGGGAATACTCAAAGTATGTTCAAGAAAGAGTACAAAAAAAAGGAAGCTACCAACAAGAAGCTTTAATTAGTTTAGCTTTAAATGAGCATAAAGAAAACTAGAATATGTATAAGAAAGCCTATATCTCATCAAATAGTAGTGAGAAAGAAAGGCTCAAAGTAGAAAAGAAAAGTAACTTCTAAAAGAAAATAAGAAGTAACAAAAGAGGAGAATTAAGTAGGCAAAGCTACCACAGAAATTATAACAGATTCTTAGATGATATAGCTCAACTAATACAGAACTTGGAAAGAAAAATTAGAGATTTGGGAATAAAGTATCTAAATCGTTCCTAATTTTTGCACCAGTTGAATTAAAGAAAGCCTTGCACGTACAAGAAGGAAAACTTATACAGCAAAATAAGGCAGAGCATAGAGTTAACATCTGGATTTATTTTTATATCTGAATATAATTGAGGTCAAAAAACCCAATCCAGTTTAATCCAGATATAATTAAATCTGAATATATTTAAATAAATCTGGATATATAAATCCGGATATAATTGAGGTAAACCCAATCTGGTTAATCTGAATATAATTTATATTGATTATAAAATAAAGTAATAATAAAATCAGAAAATTATAAATTTACATATTATTTCGATCACAGGACTACATATAATACTATGTATAATTTTTATTAATTAAAATCATATTATTTAAAAACAATCAACTAATCAACAATTAAAATCAATAAAAAATTAATAGATTTAATAAGCGGTTTTATAAGAGTTTTATAAGGGTTTCATAAAGGTTTTATAAGCAATTCATGACTAAGAAGTGTAACCAATTAAATTCAATATATAATTCGATTTTATTATCGTTATGCTTTTATATTTTATACTTGGATATAAACTTAAATCTGGATATATTAGAGATGTGAACCAACTCGGGTCATATCTCTATAAATAATATCTGTGAATTTATAATTTCAAAAATCAGTGAAGTTAGTATATAAAAATTTATTTAAAAAAATTCAATAAATTTAGAGGCGATATATTTGATATAACAGTATTTGACTTTTTTAAAAAAAAAAATCATAAAAATAAAATGAGATAAACTTTTTAAGTTTAAAAAATATAAATCAATTGATAGCACCAATTGAAAGTTTAAGATTAATGTATTTAAAAATTGCAGTTGCAACTTCTACACCTATTAATTTTTGTACTTTTTCTGTCAATCTGTCTAAAAAAAAAAAAAAAATAGTAACTATTAATAATAAATGATAATATATTTAATAAATTTTGCAGTATATACTTACTGATATGTGATGTCAAGATTAGATTCTTGCATATTCTTAGCCCATCATTATCATACTCATTAATATCATCTGAAAGTATGTTAATTGCGACACCTAAATAAATTGATTTAAGTTAGAATTTAAATAACTAGTAATTAAATTTGAGATAATAATAAAAAAAAATCTGACAAATGCCTGATTCTCAACCCTTTTAAAATCACTAAAATTTGAACAATAGTACTCTAGGAAGTATTTATTAAATAGCTTCCTTTTTTCATTTTATAAATTTTTCTCTCACTAATTAAATTTTTGGTTTTATTAGTCTTAGGAACATATATGGTAACAAAGTCTGATTGTTTCAAAAGCTCCTCTAAGTTATTAACTTGCTTGGCAGTTTCTAAAAGCATGATTCGAAATACATCATAAAAATATACAACTATCCCCATAGATTCAGCAAGAATAGATAATTGAGATCCAATATGACCATAACCAATAATTCCTAGAAACATTAGCATTAGTTTTTACTATAAATAATTGAAAACTTATACTAAAAATCTTAATGTTTGAGCCAGAGTTGTCACGTTGCAATGTCCAATGGCTTAAATTTTTTTTTTGGACATATGCCCAAAAAAAAAATTGAAACATATTTGACATTATAACATGCCAACTCTAGTTTGAGTAGTAAGAAATTTGTTAAACCAGGAGAATTTTTGTTTATATAATATTCTAATGCTTGTCTGAACAAATTTCTATACATGTAATTAATATTTAAGATTACCAAGAGTTTTTCTACAAATTTCATAGCATTCTACTAGTGCTTTATTTTGAATTCCTTGGTGTATCTCGATATTACGATTACTTAAATGTCTAGACAGCATAATTATTTTAGTAATTACTAGCTCAGCTATACTTCTACTATAGTCAAAGGAAGAATTAAATACAGTAATTTTCTGGCTAGTAGCAGTTTTTAAATCAATTTGACTAGTATTAGCACAAAAACAACCAATCACAAGGAGTTTTTTCGCTTTTAAGAGAATATTTTTAGTAAGTTTGGTTTTAGATTGAATTCTAACACAATGTATATCATGGATTTTTGCTATAAGAACATCTTCTGAAAGAGTTTCTGAATGTGCCTTAATCTTTTTTTTAAATATAAATGTTATTATACTGAGACTTAATTAATATATACGGTATAAGTTATATTGTACTTACCTGATATCCTTCTAAAGTTAGAATATCGATTGCGACTTGGTTTACATTATCTAACAACAAAACTTTAATATTATCAGTAATCATTAGTAAATTCGTTTAGATGATAATCATGCTGGTTTATTTGCTATTATATTTCATAGTACAACCTTTATATACTTTAGAAAATTAGGTAGTACAAATCTAACTGATGAATTTCTACTTATCAAAAATTCTACTTATCTTCTAATAAAAGTAATATTAGAAAATTATTACTATTTCTTTTTAAGAATAGCATTTTTCTTACTAGATCTGGTGCAAGGTGAGTTCTTCTTGCTGAGATATGGGCTCCAGCATCAGAAAACAAACGTTCGGATAGGACTGATATCATAGGTATGAACAAATATTTTCAAGCAAGCTGATAAAGCAATGGAAAACTTGCTTGTCTTTCTTCCCACTACACTAAAGGGTTTTGGTGTTTATGTGCAATTTGCTCTCTTAAGTATCTTTCTAGTTCATCTTCAGTTGTTGTAAGTGAAGTAGGTGCCGAATACGAACCCCATAACTCAGCACTAAAAGAATCACAATCCTCTTCTATAGTACTTAATACACTTTCTGTATCACTATAATTTTGGCTAACTAGTTTTGCTTTTAATGCTAATAATTCTGCATGAACTTGTGCTTTGGTATTACTTCGTTCTTTAGAAGTAGTAATTTTAACTTTCATAGATCTAATAAACATGCCTTTAATTTAATTTCACTAGGAATATCCCATAATTCATCAAGAGACAAATAAATTGCAGCACGTATTTTTTCCAAAAGTCCATCACAGTTTGTGGAAGGTAAATACTTTACTGTATTTGAATCATCCAGTTCTTCTCTATTTTCATCATGCTTCTTATATTTTTTCACATGAATTACATTGTATTTATGACCATGACCTGGTTATGCATACTTCTATGGGTATACTGCCATTGTTTCCTATTCTCAGATGATAGAATATCAGCTTCATCACCACTACTAATATCTGATTCGTTATCTGAACCTTCTGAATCACTATAAATTAGGGCTATTCAATTTTCTACGAATTCACCATTTATAGCTACTGGTACATATCTATTTTTTAGCATACAAATATAAGGATATACAAGATTTATAGTAAGGTATTTGGCATCACAAATATGTCTCGTTATTTCTTCAAAAGGTTTTAATATCTCAACTATTTCTTCAAGTAATCTTAATATAAAAAATGTTATGAAACAAATAATAATAGGCTAGGTGCTAAAAGAAAGAGAATTCATCATTTTTTTTTTTTTTTTTTTGCACTTTGTTTTATAGTAATTAAAGTTAATTTATAATAGAATAAATTTTTTTAATACAAAACAAAAAAGTAGTTATATAAATAATAAACTTTACTTTTCTCAGTACCTAATTCACAAAAAAAAATTTTAAAAATTAAATACTTTTTTTCATCAGAAGTCAAACACAGTTAATCAAGTTTTTTGCTTTCTTTTTTTAAAACAGAATCTAATTTACTTTGCAATGATGCAGCTAACGTACGCATTGCTGGATGCAACTCTAGAATTCTTTTCCAAGCCAAATAAGATGAATTCTAATGCATCTTATAGTCTGTTAATACTTCAAGAGGACTAATTGTTCCACTGTCTTGAGGTAAATCAGAATTTATAAATATTTGTGTTTCCTGTAATTATTAGGCTTGTTTTGGAAAACGAAAAAAGGGTTGAATACTTTTAAGTTGTTGATGGATAGGTTTAACTTGCTTTAATTCTTCTTTGATTAAAGTTGAAAGGTATGTGCAATGCAAGGTTGTCAGTAAATATTCAGTAAATAATTATCGTTCAATAATTTTATTCCTTTTACTACATTGGCTCTATTGTCAGTAGTTATTGTGCATACTTTATCTTCCAAGTTCTATTTGGAAATGATATTAGAAAGCTCTTTGCTAATACTTTCACCATTATATAAATGGGGCATATAATGACATATAAGTAATATTTCATGAAATTTAAAATCAGAAGTAATCCAAGTAGCGGTGATACCAAGGTAGTCATACTTGCTCTTTGAGGTCCACAGGTCTGTTGTCAAATGAATAGTAGTGGCTATATTAGCTAATAATTCTTTAAGTTAATTTATCCCCTCATTATAGGCTTCTAAAATGTATTCCTTAACTGTTTCTGCATAAGGTATCTGATAATAAAGTTGAAATGCTAAAAGCATTCAGTGAAAAGATAAATATTTTAATATGTGTAAAGGTTGGACATCGTATATAATAAACTCTACAATATATTTTGTAAGTTTTTTTTGTCGTTTAGGTGAAAGTGTATTCATATAATTTGTAGTTTGATTGACTTTCACTTTTGGCTATAAAATAATTTAATTCATTTTAAGTAATTTAATAAAGCTTAAATAGATTACATTAAGTTTAAACATTTTACTTGTTTTTTAGAATTGAGAAAATCTTTATAATTTCTTGTGGTAATTTGATGTTTATTACGAAGATGCTACGTTAAATACCCTGTACTACTATCTGACTTAGAATATAGATAAAAGCTAGCTTGGGTTTCTTCATATTCTTTAATACAAATCTTATAATATCTAATTTTATCATCTGCTTCATCAGCTTTAAAAAAAAAATATGTATAGCTAGCATTGATTCTTGTTTTTTTTATTGTGTTAGAGGTCTGAGGTAAGATTATTGGTATTCCACTACTAGAGGCTTTTCTTTTTTGTCAGTTACTTCTGAAAGATTCTTCAGATTTATAAAGTTTGTAAGAAGTAGAAGTCAAACTAGAGGTTTCATGTGATGTTTGAGATATGTATTCTTCCTCTTCTTCTATTAATAAGAGTGAAGGTAACCGTTCTTGAGAAAACATTATTATTATATTTTTTTAATAATCAAAGATTTAAGTGTATTTTTTATTTATTTATTTTTGTAATGATACTACATAAATAATGATAATTAAGGGTTTATTCTTTGTCATTATCTTTAGAGCAGTGCTATTTATACCTCTCACTTTTAATATTCTTACCTCTCTCCTTTAAAGTACAACGATAATGATAACATTTAATACATAATGTTCAATTAAAATTTGTCTTTGCTCAAGTTCACATATCAATATTATTGGGTGCTACATGACTTTCATGTGACAAGTGGCTAAAATAATTTTTAGAAAGGTATAAATAGCAAAAATATAGGTATAAATAGTAATTTTCTATCTTTATTGTTATCAGTATAAAAATTTTCACCTTATTTTATCACTATTGTTATCAGTAAAAAATTAACATATTATACATAGTACAGCAATTTAGAAATATGCATATCAAGAAGTTAAATCAACATACCAATACGTACTGTGTACAATCAGAATTAAATTAGGATTTATAGTTAAATTTGGATTTTAATTTACATCAAAATTTTAACTTTAATCCAGATTTTAATATATATTCAGATTTTAAAATATATTTAGATTTTAGCTTTATCTAGATTTATATTACTCAAAAAATTAATTTGGATTTATTTAAAAATCGAATTGATTCAGATTTATTTTTAAATCTAGTTTGATGTATTAACTCTAGCAGAGCAAGAGATAAACTATATAGAAAAGAGCTATAAAATGAACAGAGAAATACAAGTGTGCAAGAAGTCAGAAAATATATCAATATAGCAGCTTATAATATAAATAGATTAAAAGGAAATAAACATAAGGTAGAAATATTAATTGATAAATTTATAGAAGAAGACTATGATATAGTAGGAATAATAGAAACGAATATTTCTGAAAAAGAAGGCTATTACATAACAAGTCACCAAGAAAATATAAATAGTTTTTGAACTAATTCAGAAAAAGGCAAAAGTCAAGGCTCTGGAGTAGGTATAATAGTTAGCAAGAAATGAGCAAATCATATAGAGCAAATTAGAAAATATAGTAGCTATTTGCTAGAGTTATACTTTTTCTTTAAGCAATTAGAACTAGTTGTTTTTATAATTTATATAGTACCAAATAGCCAACTAAGAAGAAAAGAAGTACAGAGAATAATAATAAAAGAAATAGCTCAGAAAAGACCAAATATGCACTTTATTATAATGAATGACTTTAATCACATTATACAGCCAAGTATTAATAAAAATAGTGGCATAAACAGTAACTACAAAAAACTACTATTACATAGCTAGCTAACAAAACAAAACTTTATTAATATGTTTAGAGAGTTATATTCAAGCAAAAAAGAATTTTCATAGAGTAATAGAAAGAACAGTACAAAAATTAATCAGATTTGGATCTCAGAAGGTCTAATATATAGTCTTAAAGAAGTTTTAATCGAAGAGATGACCTTAGAGACAGGTAGTAATCATGGACTAGTAGGAGCAAAAATACTACTAGATCACTTAGACTTTAGAGATAGTTTAGCATAGATCAAAAGAAAGAAGTTAAAAAGACAATTTTCTTATATGATAAGGCAATGAAAGAAAATTGAAACGATTATAAAAATAAGCTGCAGCACCTACTTAGGAAAAAATTAAACAAAAAGCTATAGTTGAAAGAACTCTTTGAGTTAACTAACAAAGAATCTATAGATAGTATAGATTTGAATAAAGAGTGAGACATTATAAGTATTAGTATTAAACAAGCAGCAGAAGATAAAATCCCTTGTAAGAAGATGCTAAACTCAGAATACAACAAAGCACCAAAAAAGATTCGCTCAAAATTGCTAAATGCAATAAATACAGTAAGAAAAATAGTAAAAGAGTACAAAAAGAAAATAGAAACAAGTAGAACAGAAGATAAGCAATTTGAAATTGAGCAAAAAATAGAAGAGATAAATAAGAAAACAGTATCAAGTATAGTAATACTGGGAACGCTGTAGAGTGAACAACTACAAGAAGAGCTCTATAGATAGTGGTCAATACTAAAAGGCAGATTAGTAGCAGAAAATAGTATAGTTAGCAGATTAGAAATAAATAAATATATAGATCAAAGATGCAAAATGATAAGAGACAATCAAAGAAGAATGATTAATAGTCTGCTAGAAAAGCTCTTTAAAAAAGTTGTAATTGACAAATTATTTGTAGAAAAAGAAGGGGTTAAAGAACTTTTTAATGACCCAAAAAAAGTTCTAGAAAGAACAGCTGACTATTTCTAAAAACAGTTTAAAGAAAGAAGGTTTCAGCAAGAAAACCTTCTGAGTAGCTAGAAAGAAGTTTATATGCTACTAATGAGAGTTAAAGAGAGCTATTATAAAGATTTAAACAGTAAAATAACAGAAGAAGAGTAGGATTCAATGCTTCAAAAGCTGAAAACTAATACAGCACTAGATATATCTGGTATTGGGTATATTCTGATTAAGTAAGCCAGCACAGAAACACAAGTAGCTTTCAGAAACTTTGCTAGTTTGTGTTTAAAAACAGGCAGAATCTCACTTAAATAGAAAATTAGTCAGATGTACTCTATATCTAAAGATGTAGATTAGTAGTTTAATCTGAATAATATAAGGTCAATACTATCAAGGTCTGGCGATCTTAGTGTAGTGGTTAGGTTGCCAGACTGCTATGCAAGAGGTCTAGGGTTCAAATCCTACTGTCGATGAATTTGAATAATTTCTCAGACTTCTGTACTCAACTTATAGCAAACTCTGTTCGTTTCTGAGGTTGTAACCCTGTAAATCATGTTGTACCAATGTCATCTGGATATTGGGAGTACAACATGATGCCTGAAGAACATAATGTTGTATGAATAAATCTTGATAGAATCTACGGACAGAGAACCTGTATAGTAGAAATCCCAAGTTAGGTGAAGTAGTACGGATTTCGATAGTTAATCTAGTTAACACTTGATCTAGTAGGAAAGTTCATGTGCATACGTTGTAGATCGAACAGGTGCAAGTAAGTCTGTCTGACACGCAAAAAGGCTGGTAGTACCAACCTGGCTTGGCAGCTAACTAGATTTAGAAGGATCTACTTCATGAAACATCTTGGAAACCTCGAAGAACTAAACTAGTGGAGAGCTACAGAAGGAACTGAGTTCGTATGAACATCGACAAGGGTCTAAGCTAGGTAGAACCCATGAAATAGGCACAGGACACTCTAGTAGGTTTGCTTACAAGGTTAACTAGCTCTGCAGATACTCACAATATATTGGGTATAATGTATCCCGAGAGGATCTAAGCTATTCAGTAGAATGATCCGTAACAAGCTAGCTAGCTTAAGCAGTTAGGTATTGTAGTGATATTAGTTTGGGATTGCATGTGACACTACATTGAACAGAGTATTTAAAACAGGTAACTCACAAGCGGGTTACAGGTATAGCAGCTTGTGTAGAACTACTTAGATAGTCTAATATCTGTGTAGTGGACTACTTAAATAGACAATGACTAAAGTTATATGTGTGACTAGTTGTACATTCTTTATGTAACTATAACAGCAGGGCCACTCATATTGTGACCCTGTATCCGAAAATTAATAAAATACTTGTAGCAAAGTAAGCCCCTTTAATAATAAAAAAAAAAAAAAAAAAATAATTCAGAAAGTGAAAATATCAATTTAAGCAAATAGATTAAAAATAAACTAATCTTTATAAAGAACAAAAAAGAATTAATAAGGTTTAGTATATAGGAGTTATGAATAAAATAACAGAAGAAAAATAGTCAAAAGTCACAAATATACTAAAAGAAGATATAACACTCAGGATCTCAGGTATTGGCTATAGACTCATAAAAAAAATAAGCTCTAAGACAAAAGAATACTTGATAAATTTTGCAAACAAAGTAGTCTACAAAAGAAGATTTCTTAAGAATTAGAAGTTAAGGCAAATATATCTAATTTCTAAGAGTATATATTAAGAATTTAATTTGGCTAGCATTAGACTGATAATGTTACTCGAGATATTCAGAAAACTTGTAGTCAGAATAGTTTAAAAAAGACTAAACAAGATCTTTATTGAAAAGCAAATTTTGAAAGGAGCTAACTTTGCAAGACTACTGAATAAAAGTACTATAGCATCTATATACATCTTAAATAATATTATTGAAAATATAATTTAAAAAGAAAAAGAGTTCTAAATAGCTTTTCAGAATATATAAAAAGCTTTCAACTTAGTTAGCATATATGTCTTGGAGCTCTCTATAAAAAGAATCAAACTTCCTAAAAATCTAATTACTTATATTAAGCAATTATATCAAGATTGTAAAATAAGAGTGATAACAGATAAAGGCCTTATAGATTTCTTCATAGCTAAAGATGGAATAGATTAAGGTGAAGTAATTTCTCTACTAATATAGAAAATATTTTATGACACATTGCTAGTAAGAATATAGCAGCTAAAAATTGAGTACCAAATAAAGTTATAATAGCTAATAGATATTGAAAAGTGAATATACAAAACAGAAAAAACTATAATTTCATCACTAGTATATACAGATGATACTATATAAGTAGCAGAGTCTAAGTATGCATTACAAGAAATTATACAAGTATCAAACAGCTTTCTTATACTAAATGATATTGAGATAAATAGAACAAAATCTAAAGCAATTATTTAAAAATCTCACAAGCAAAGAAAAAAGAATGAATATATACAAATTAGAACATCTCTGAGTCAAATTAAGGTTAAAAAACTAGAAGAAAGTACAAGGTTTCTTAATGTTTAGATAAGTTTAAGAAAATAAAAGAGAACAAGTATCTTATATTGCAAAAAAGAAGTAGGAAAACTAATTTGTATATCAAAATACAAAAAACTCTCAATAAGTTAGATAATATATATAAACAATATAGTACTGCTCCTAAAGTTCAAATATTTGCTAGCAAATATTTGTCTAAAGAAAAAATTATGTGATACTATATATCAGCCTATACTTAGACTAATTAAATAGAAATTAA